ACATGATTCCGAACTAAACACCTAATTGCTGTCTGTCTACTACTTTATTTTAGAGGCATCAAATTAACTTCTAGCATTTGTTCTATAGGAGGCTTCCATTTTATCCATACCAGTTCCTATCCTGGTTAATGGTTTGTAACCCCCTTGGGCCTCCATTAGTTCCAAATATATTTTCCAGGTTCGATCAATAGTCAACAGAGGATTAGTCTTTTTATTTTATCCATACCTAGTTCCTCCACCCATACAATTAGATGAAAGAAGAAAATATCTGATACAGCTATACACCAATCCAGCTACAGGTATGGAACTGTTATACGAAACCAGTTATCTGCTCCATACCAATACCAAAACCTCAAAAAACAGTTGATTTATTACTTTAATATAGAAATATATGGATCCATACACTTAAATTTCTATCTAAGAAAGGCAAGATGCATACATGTATTACATAACTAAAACATCGTTAAGGAAGAAGGCTAAAAGGAGAATTTATCATGAATGCAAATCAATCAAATTTTCAAAAGAAAGAGTTTTACAAGATGAGAGATATCAATAAGGAAAAAAAAAAAAAAAAGACACCAACAGCCAAGAGTCTTACGTGTTTTTGAATGCTTCCAGGCCAAGGCTGGGGAAATTATCAAAACCACATGAATCACCAATACCACTAAAGAACCACTTAAAGCAACCCCAACACAGGCTTATACTTAGATACTTCCCAAGGCAGTGTACCTGTTTCCTGCAATTCATTAACATAAAAGTAATATCATGAGGAACTGTAGGGATGGCTATTTGCTCACAATGTGAGAGTGAGCAGATGACTAGAATCTATTCTCATAAAGAGTGCTTATTGAATATTAACTTTGCCAAATGTATCAAGTATGCCAGAACTATTTCTACCCAGCATAAACCAACTAAATGTGTCACCCTTATGATACCCAGATACCTGTACATGGCTAGCATGCCAGAATTGTATCTGATACTTATCAGATATGGATACTTCTACATGTAATATAGAATTAAAACTTTTAAAATATGTAAAGTAGTATGATTTGAAAAAAAGAATGTATACTACAAAAATATCTGCATATCTCTAATTGAATTTGTCAAGACATAAGTCTTGAGAAATGGCATTTAGCTTCAAAAACTAGATATGAATGCATGATATAAGCATATTGCATGTGATACCCATACATGTACCTGTATCCAGCATTTTAGGAAATGGAGGGTCATATCCCCATTACCTGTATCCATGCACATGTCTGCACCTATATCTGGACATCATAGATGTTAACCATTCAGAAGAGAAAACCAATGTTTGATTTTAAACCTCCATGGATTATTGATGGGCACTTCTATGTTACTATGTTACATTTTCCTACATTTATTTGCTAATTTTACATAAAGTAACAACTATATACACAATGAAAGTCATTTTTCTATTATTGATAAAAAAAAGTCATTTTTCTATATACTGTTATCAAGTAACAAAGATAAACTTCTAGATGTGCAAGTAAATGATGAAAAGACTTTCAGATTTTAAAAGACTTTTTTTACTCACCTCTTTAAATACCTTAATTCATTGATTAGACTTAAAGAATAAAATATTTGCATAACTTACCTTTGTAAGAATAAACTTCGTATGATGCTATTGAGCACAGTTGTAAGAAAAAGCTTCATGTGGGGAGAGATAAGCGGGTTTATCTCTCATTGACTATTTTCTTGTATTGTAATCACAATTTTACTCATTTACATTAATGAAATTTGCAGTTATCGATCAAAAAAATCATATAATACTACTAAAATATTCTGATCTAAGGGCCCATTTGGTTGACAGGAATGGGGGTCTGGAATCGGAATCGGAATAGGTCTTTCTGATTCCAACTGTTTGGTTGGGCGGACTCAGAATCCCATTCCCATTCCTGCTGGAATGGCATTCTCCCATTTGAGGTGATGGACATTCCCTCCCCCTCCCTTGGGAATGAAATCCCATTCCAGCTTATTCCAATTCTGATTCCAATTCCTGTCTGAACCAAACAGTTATGGGACTAAACCATTCCGATTCTGATTCCATGGGATTTTGATTCTGATTCCAATTCCAGCTGTGAACCAAATGGACCCCAATTTTTATTGCTTGGACGTGAAGCCAAGGTAAATATCGGCATTATATAGTAAAGATACAATGTTAGAATTTGAAAAAATATGGACCGCTTTAAATAGCTTATACTTTTATATAGATGTGTCCACAACTCGGTTTTTGTTTCATCTTGCCAAGTCAGACTCCAAGACATGTCACAATCCATGACTCCATGCCCATGCAACACTGGGGAAAACACAAGATTTCTGAAAGCTTTGAAAGATTAGTTAATTTAGAACATATACTTATATCTATGGATACCATAGTGAAAATATTTGAGTCAATAAAATGAAAAGAATGTATTAATTGCTTACCCAGCAAGCTCAGCTCCTTTAGTTGTGTGAAAACTATTTATCAGCATGGCCGTTGCTGTCCCACTAGGATATGTAAGCTTATAATCCATGACCATTACCTGTTATAACCCACATAAAAACAATAAGAGGAAAGTTTGTCCCTAACAAGTATCCAATGTTTTAAAACGTGGAGGTGTGATGCGAGGCGTTCCACTACCTAGAGGCGTGAAGCGTAGTTCAGAATGCAAGAGGCGTAAGCCTCCTGAACGCAAGCCTCCTTAAGAGGAGGAGGGGGGGTTAGGAGGATGAAGAGTAAGGGAGGATCTCATTTTTTCTTTATTTTTAATAAAAATCTTTTATATTAAGAAGAATAAAGAACATGCCAGAGGCGCTGACACCTCTGAGTGAAAAGCATAGTTGTCAAGGCGACAAGGCGCCCTTAGAGGCTCACCTCGCCCAGTCACCAAGCAGTTTTGCATACTGTGTAATAAAATACTTATATATTTTTATTTTTTTGAGATTATAATTATAAAATAGACATTATTAAAGAAAAATATTCATTTTTGTGTTTATAAACTAATTTCTTTTTATTATTTTCTTATTTGTTAGGGTTTAATCAACACAAACATTGCTAACTGTTGTATTGAATCCTCAGTGGCTTCAAAATCTGAACCAATAAGGGAAGAACTTAAAATTTTGTCTAATCAACACATTTCTTAAATATGTTGATTTTCTAGACTTAGGGCCTGTTCATTTGCTCTAAAGTCAGACATCTGAAAGTGCAATAATTACATTAAGAGGTATATTGGTATTGGTGGACTTTTCTTTCCTTTGAACTCTGAATGCAGAGAATGTTGTTCTGATTTTTGAATTTTGAAAATGATCAAATATCAATTTTGACCCCATATATGAATGCTTTTGTTTGTCTTTTTGGGGGTATCATTGGAAAACAAAAAGTTGTATGATTGCACTTTAAGAGATAAGAGATAAGAGGAAACAAACAGCCATTTTCCTCTTAAAGTTAAAAGATTCCTTTTAAGAGATAAGAGTTAGAGGAAACAAACAGGCCCTTAAACATGAAGTTTATAATTTTCTTAGGAAAATTATGGATAGTTACGTAGTTGTCAAGGCGACACCTAGGTGACGAGGTGCTCTTGGAGGCTCGCCTCGCCCAGTCGCCTAGCAGTTTTGTATATTGTCTTATAAAATACTTTTATATTGTTACTTTTTGAGATTATAATTATAAAATAGACATTATTAAACAAAAATGTTCATTTTTCGTGTTTATAAACTAATTTCTTTTTATTACTTTCTTATTTGTTAGGATTTAATCAACTCAAACATTGCTAACTGCTATATTGAACCCTCAAAGACTTCAGAATTTGAAGTCTAATCAACACATTTCTTTCAATCAACACAAACATTTCTTATTATTTTGTCTTGAAGTCTAATCAACACAAAAATAGGAGTTCAGTCCCATATTTTTTTGAATTTTCTTTTCTTTCTTCTTTTTCTTCTCATAAATATGTTGATTTTCTAGACATAAACATGAAATTTATAATTTTCTTATGAAAACTATGGATAGTTATTAAGGAAAGATGGTTATGGAACCTAAGGAACTACCTGGGATATGTATTTTTCACTTAAAAAAATCTATGGCCTAGGAACGCCGCCTAGGCGACAAGGCGCCCCCTGTCACCTAGCCTCGCCTTGGTGCCTTGAAAACTATGGATAGTTATTAAAGAAAATTGGTTATGGAATTACTTAAAAAAAAAAAAAAAAAAAATCCATCGCCTAGTCGCCTAGGCGACAAGGCGCCCCCTTGAAAACTATGGTGAAAAGGTAATTTACAGATAAGATTCCAAGTTTCCAACTGAAATAGGATAGGGACCGTATTCAAAGATTATAGGGGAGTCAAAGGAGTTCTAGCTTTGGACAGAGACAGGCACATAATGATTAAACAACAAGGAGAAAGGAAGCTAACACGCGTATATATACGTACCTTACGAAGTGGAACAAGACTGAATAATCCAAGAAAACTAACAACAAACATGAACCCGATCATCCAACTCAAGGCTGGATTTTTAATATCTTCTGCCCGATTTCCCGGGTAATCAACACCTATAAGTTTGTATGTCCTCTCATCCATGGCAAGCATGTATGACCCAAAGCCCCCTGTCACAAAAATACCACTTCGTATCAGCACAAGTGATCCAGTGAATGGAACTAATAGACATCCGATAACCTGTTCAAAGGAATAACAGAATGGATATTGCTAATCATAATTCCCCAACCAAACAAAAAGGAAAAAAAAAATTGCAAAAAAAATACAACATATACGAAGGGTAGAAAATCTATAAGCAAGATGGCCAACATCTGAACCAGATTAGACAACGTTCGGCACAATAATGCCCCAAAGGCTCAAACCAACAAGATTATCAAAGTCCAAAGCGCAGGAAAGCAAACAAAAGGGGGAAAACAGATCAGACGGAAAAGAAATGTGAAATTATGCAATAACAAGTAAAATAAATGAACTCGTTAGATAGTATTACTGTAATAGGAAGTATTTAAACCAGGATAGAGGATTATGACACGGCCAATTCGATCCAAACAGACCCCAAGAGCCTCGAGACTCCAACATCTTAAGCAATAAAGGAGAAAAAAGAGAAATATGTTACCGCTAAACGCCAGGCCATAGCAAGCAACGACGCAAGTCTGAATAACAGTATTCTCCTGTCGAGTAAAGGGAGCAATGGAGAACCCTAATTTGGAGAGAAAACCGGTCCAGGACTTGACAAAGAAGAAACCGAGCAACCCAGCAGCGACATTGAGGGAAGGTATTATACCAACTGTTAGGTTGAGTTTATGCGTGATGATACAGAACAGAGTCCCTAGGAACATGCTTACTACCAGCCCTCTGATCGTGATCTGATCTTTCCATGGCGGTATTGGCATCTCCTTGGAAGCCTCCGATTCACCTACCGTCACCTTCTGTGGTTCCAGGAGCAACGGCTCCGAAATCTCAACTCGGGTGTTTTCCATCCCCATCCTGCTCTCTCTCTCTCTCTCTGCGTGTTAGGGTTTCGGATTTACAGAAATTATAGGTGGCCTGGCCTTCTCTACCGTCGTTGGGTATCAGTTTTCCTTATTTATAGAAGTTGTGTTGGAATTGATGATGGATGAGCATTTGCTGCAGCAGGAAGCAATCGTACAAAATCCACCGGCTGAACCTGAAATGGTTGTTTGATGGCTTCCATCCGTTCAGACTTTCAGAGACAGGCGAGGCATTGACGATCCGGTGACTCGTAGATATTAGTGCATATATTTAAAGTACAAGTGGATGTCATCGTCCCACTTCAAATCTCTACCGCTCACTCTTCCGACTTTGTTTGGCCTCCCATTGACTATTATTTTGCCACCTCTTCTCTCTTTTTTTTCTTATCTTCCATCAATAATTCGAGTTGGGCTTTAGCCTGCAGTCTTTACAGCCTTTCATTGAGAATACATCGATACATCAGGCCCCATAATACACGGTTGAGATGTATTGTGGGGCGGGGCGCTGATGTAAACTTATTCGTTTATACTGGATATGATTATGATGTTAGTCAGACACGTGTCAAGATAAAAAATTAAAGTCAGTTTTCTATTTCGGGTCTATTTCGTTTTCGTCACGGGATTGTCTATCCCATCAGCGCGCATTTTAGTTTTTATCAATTATCATCACTGACCCAAGAGCTCCTTTTCGACTTGGATCTCCTGTAAATAAAATACATTCCAAACATCCTATCACCATCATCTCACACCACACATCTCTCATTATGAAATTGGATGTACGAAGATTTGAATTCCAGGCCCCCTTACTACTAGCCCTCTCCCCCTATAAACCACAGCATGTGAATTTGGCATCATTTCATGTGAGGATGCATTTGGACCTATAAAATTTTGATCTGGGGTGATTGGTCATTCTCCCTTGAATTTATTGTCATCTATCATAAAAATTTGGGAATCGTCGTATATGAGATGAGATGTGTGGGGTTAGATCATGTTGGTTGGGTTTGGAAACGTATGGGGCTCTTCCTTTTCTTTGTTGAAGAGGGGGGAAGAGTCCGGGTGGGTTTGTTTCGTTAGTTCAGATACGATGACCACATCCACATGATATTGCTGGCCATGCTCATTCAACCGTATATTGGAAACATCAGTGATATAAAGTAATAGAGGTTTTCCTAATGTGTGGTTGGATGGACGTTACTACGGTCAGCAAATTTCGACTCTTATTTTTTCACCACTGTTTTGCATTTGAAAACACTAAAGGTGGAAGAAGATTAACAATGAATAGGGAAATTCCCAAAGTACAAAGTATCCATTTTATAATTAGGGCTGCCTTCAAGTCGAGCCGATCTAAACGTTGGCACGTCTTTGTTCAACTCGATTAAAATACTACTAGGTTTGAATTCAATTCGAACTATATTTTTTAGCTCGAGCTCGGTTTGATTAAATATTCAATAAATTTGAGTTTGGCTTGAAAAATCAAAAATAAATTTATTTATATTATATATATGATAATTTTATAATATATAGTATATTCTTATATTATATAAAATATAAAAAATATAATTTATATTCTATAATATATATATATACATATGTATGTGTTAATAGAACCAAGTTCGCAAGCTTTTGAGTCAAAATTTTTATTAATAGAACTCAAGCTCGAGCTCACTTAGAAATGAACTCAAACTAAACTTAATCGAATTCTAACCTGAACTATTCGATTAGGGCTCGATTCAATTGCAATCTTATTTATAATTTCCTTTTCCTATAGTACAAGAGATCATGATCATTAGATCACAACCCTCCCTTCTTATTTCTATCAAAGAAAAAACAAAAGAAACACATAACTATTCCTTTCTTSAAACTTATGTGCTTTGTTGATTTATTTTTAGAGAAATTTACTTGAACTCATGATTTCAGAAATAGGTTTGAGCATATCACATATAAATAACAAATGGATGCCCAACATGCAATTTAGTTTTACAATAAATTTAATGTGTCAAATATGAATACAACTTATTATACCATGACTGATTTACAAATGGAATCTCGTTCAACGACAAAACTAAGAAGGAAACCTTGATCAATGTTGTTGGATTTGTATGAGAGTATTAGACTAAAGACAGCCATTAGAACYAGGAATTAACTATCCCTTTACGTCAAACCATTGGTGACTCACACAGGAGATGCTACCACTAGAGCTCAATTTGGAAATAACATAAATGTAAATATGTAAGGTGTAAAACCTTGTATTTTATATTATTTTGTATGTATTTACACTATTAGGCTCAATTAGATAATAGCATAAATGTAAATATGTAAGGTGTAAAACCTTGTATTTCATATTATTTTGTATGTATTTACACTATTAGGCTCAATTAGATAATAGCATAAATGTAAATATGTAAGGTGTAAAACCTTGTATTTCATATTATTTTGTATGTATTTACACTATTAGGCTCAATTTAGAAGAAGTATAAATACAAACATATACAATACAAATACATACAAAATAATATGTAAGGAACAAAATTATGCAAGTAAACTCCAACTTGGGTAAAATTATTTTGAATAAAAACTCCAACTTAGAAGGGAACAAAATTATGCAAGGAAAAGACTCCAATGATGAAAAAGAAATTAAAGAAAATGAGAACAAATACATATGCTCAAACATATGATATGCTGGTATAATTGAGCATATGCAAAAAGTATTTATAGTTAATGATGGAGGAAGATTTGGCCCGACCTCTTGGCCACCCAACACGTGGAAGTAACCGAGGGTGACCTGACAGGAGCGACAACTCGGCATCGACAGTGCGCTCAAGGCGCGAGCTCCGAGAGGAGGAACCAGCGGTCCGAGCTCCCCAAAAGGAGCCCGAACTCTCCCTTTGACCCCAAGCCTTACGAGGAGCGCAAAGGGAAACAACCCGAACTGGCCCACCCCAGGGCAGTTTGGGCCACACTTCTATTTGAAATTAAGACTTCACCTGCACACCACTCCGGCACTTCGTCTCCAGGCCGCCGAACTGAACAACTGTACCTGACACCAAAGGAGTCCGTATCCTAAGGCGGCGCGCCTGACTGACTTAGGATCGGACGCTTGACAACCGCACTTCAACGGCCACCTGCCACCGCCACCTCCAGTTGCAGAGACGGCTCCGACAAAGAGAGCAGTGGTGGTTGTCTGCCACAGCAGAGGTGATGACACCCGAACTGGCAGAAGTGGAGAGGTAATGATACCCAACCTGACAGGAGCTTGGGAGTGAGTGCGCGAAGTGGTTATAAAAGGCCCTCTTCCCCCCAAGAATGGAGGTACATGATAACTTTGCGCCATCTGGTTTTTATCTTGCCTTTGAGAAAATACTAACTTGAGCTTCGGAGCACTCTCACCGGGTTCCTCCCCGGAGACTACTCGCTTTCTTCCCCGTTTCAGACACCTTTCGCTCCAGTCAGAGGCAAGATCGTTGACAGCTAGGACCGACCGGATTGCGCTCCATCAATTGGCGCCGTCTGTGGGAACGCTTCTAAAAGCCTCCCTCTAAAACTTTCATAGCACCTTTTTTCCAAGAAACCCCAGCATCCATAGCTTCTTCCAGCAATGCCGAACGTAGCACGGAGATGAACGCCACCGGGGAACAACTTCAAGTTCCTGTGGTGTGCATCGGACAGTTCACCATCCCCCTTCCGGTGGATGGGATCCCCAGCCTGAATGCGCCATGAATAGTGGCACCCATGAATCTTCCCGCTGTGAACATTCCCCTTCCTCCCTCTGTTGGAACCACCTTTGCTGAACCAACCATTGTTCCCCTGACAACTAGCCAGAACCAACTTGATGACCTGGTGCATGGCATGCGAGCCATCCAAGCCCAAATGCAGCAGCTTCAACAACATCAAATCTACTAGTAATAGATGTTGCACCATGTATCCCAATACCACTACCAGCAGCAGTTCCCCCAACTGCCTCAAAGTCAGCCGTAGCTCCCACCTCGGCCCCCCGC